AGTTCAGATTGCAATCGGTGTATGGCAAGTGGGTGTAGGGGGGGGGGGGGGGAGCCCCTAAAAAAACAAAATGAGCTAAAGAAAGAAAGAAACAAAAAAAATGTCTTAAAATATTCCTATGTCAAATAATGTATTCTCTATGACTTCAGCAACCAATTATTCTACTATTTCTGTATGTTCATCTGTGCATAATGCAGTAAATAATTCTTCATTATCTGCCACCAATTCAAATTTTGAAGAAAATCTTAAAAAAAACTTAATTAATTCACTTAATGATTGGTTAAAGAAAAGCGAGCAAAATAAAAATCAACAAAATTATCAAATCATAGAAGGAATAGATTATGAAATCATCGTGAATTCTATTGACAGCAAGATGTTGATACGATGTCATTGTGGTATAAATTACACATTAGGTCACAAGGATAACAATTATCTTGTAAATCATTTCACTCTGAATATTATACTTTTTGAGAAAGATAGGCAACATAGTTTTCTAAGTCCCTAGATTCAATGTTCAAATCTTTTATTCAGAAAAAAACTAATTTATTTTTCAATGAATGATTGAGAATGTGGGTAATAATTATGACTGTTCCTGATAGAATTATTTTCTGCACAACTTATTTGTTTTTGACAAACCTATGCACTTCTATTAGGCATCAAAATGTATTCTAATGAAGAATCAGATGGAAAAGACAGAGAAAAATGAGTAGATACGATAGTGCTTGAGTAACTCGATTCTAGAAAAAGAGAGAAAGCACAAAAAGTCCATTAGTATTCATTTTAATTTAGAAAAGATATAGAAAGTAAAATATGTCTGTTTTTCAAGCAGCCATTGAGTTATCTTTTTGGGGACCAATTATACTCTTTACTATTGGAGTTCCATCAGCTATTTTAAATGCGATTATTTTTATTTGAGTGAAAAAATTTCGACAATCTCCTAGTTCTTATTATATTGTTGCTCAATCATTATTTGATTTTGGTGCCTTATTACTAGTTCTTCTTCAAAATTTCCCATCAACCTCAATAAATGCATCTTCCATCTCGTGCAAATTGATTATATTTTTTAGTCGAATAGTAGCGCCATGTGCACTAAGTTTTCTTGGTTTGGCTGCATTTGATCGTTGGGCATGTACATCAAGATCAGCAAGAATACGTAAATTAAGTTCAATTCGTACAGCTTATTGTATTGTTTTAATTACTGTTCTATTCTGGTCATTGCTGAGCATACCTTTTCTTAGTTTTTTCGATTTGATTCCACCTACCTATACTTGTGGATTCACTAATGATCTTTTTCAAAAAATTACCAATTTTTTTCTGGCTCCTATACTATGTGCTATTTTTCCTCTTATCGTTTTAATTGTATTTGGTATTCTTACATATCGAAATCTTCATCTTATGACGACTATTAATGGACAACAACAATCTGTTACAACTCGTTTATCAATGTGGGAACAACAAATAACAAGAATGATGATTATTCAAACAGTGTTAAATGTATCATGTGCACTCCCTCAATGTATCTTGCTGATTTATACAATAGCAACAGTTCAACAAAGTGCAATGAAAAGTTTAGATCAAATTTATATTGAATATCTATTGGCTCAATTGTGTGAATTTATAGTATGTCTTGATTTTGCTTCATCATTTTATATATTTTTTCTTTCTTCATCACGTTTTCGACAAACAACCAAAATGTATCTAAAACGTCTTTTACATTTGGAAAGTAATCAAGTTACTCCTTTCAACATTTCTGCTTCAACAGTACCAGTTACTGGTACGAAAACTCATTACAGACAAAATTGAATCGTCTATTTAAGCTAAACAAGTTGAATATTTACTGGGTGTGGGTGTGGGTGTGGGTGTGGGTGGGGTTTGGGTGTGGGTGTGTGTGGGTGCGGGTGTGGGTGTGGGTGTGGGTGTGGGTGTAGATTCAGCCTTCTCTTCACCCACACCCACCCACACCCACTCCCACACCCCCACCCACACCCACACCCCGCCACCCCCCCCCCCCCCCCCCACCCCCCCCCCCCCCCCCCCCCCCCCCCCCCCCCCC